CAAAGATATAATCTTAGGTAGTAGAGGTAGTAGTAGAGGTAGTAGAAATAGTTAAATAAAATCACATCATGATTGTATAACCATATTGAATGTTTAATAATAAAACTGTTAAATGCTAGACGTTGGATAGCACATTATTCTTTACCAAAGTAAATAATTTATTTATTTTTTAAAAGAATATGGATTATTGATTATAATAATTGTGGTTGTGTGGTAATTTTATGTTTAGAGCTAAAGATCGGCTGAAAAGACAAAGGATTGAAAGTGAATTACCAATACCTCAATTAAAATCAGTTAGAAAAGAATTATTTTCAGGGATAAAGGTATGATAATTACCATATATACCAATTTATGATATTTTCTTGATACATAGATTACTTTTATGAATGAAACCAATTAACAAAATATTGACATTATTGTCACGATGATGAATTGGATAGTCTTATTCAAATTTTAGTTCCCAAATTGGGGATGACCGACCTATATCACAATGTAATTTTTCACCAGATTGTAGTATGGTGGCCACAGGATCTTGGTCAGGATTATGTAGAATTTGGAGTGTACCAAATTGTGACTCAGTAATAACATTAAAAGGTTATTACTACTACTACCATTACTACTAATAATAACATTATTATCATTAGCATTGTTCTTATTTATTATTGTATAAAATTTTATTTAATTAGAGTGATATATTGAATTGTTATATATGTATATATATATTTATTTATTTATTTATTTATCTATTTAGGACATACTGATCGAGTTGGAGGAATTGCATGGCATAATTTGGTAAATTTAGCATCAGGAGGAGCAGATGGATTGATTCATTTGTGGTCTTTGGAGAACGAGAATCCATTAAAAACACTTCAAGGGCATACAGCTAGAATAGCAAGAATTGACTTTCATCCCTCTGGGCGGTTTCTTGGATCAGCAAGGTTTACTATATACATTTTACTTAATAATATTATCAAGCAAGGTAATAATTATCATTATTACATATTATATAAGTTTTGATTATTCTTGGAGACTTTGGGATGTTGAGACAACAGAGGAGTTATTGTTACAAGAAGGACATGCACGAGAAGTCTATTCAATTAGATTTCAATGTGATGGAGCATTAGTAGCAACAGGGTAAATTAATAAAAAATTTTCCTTCAAAAAACAATAAAAATGAATTCATATTAATACAAACACACACATATATACTTTAGAGGATTAGATTCTATTGGAAGAGTATGGGATTTGAGAACAGGTAGATCTGCGATGGTTTTAGAGGGGCACGTAAAAGATGTTTTGTCTGTAGACTTTTCACCGAATGGGTATGTATTATGATTAATATATTTATTATGTATGTGATATAACCATATTTATTTATGAATTATTTCAGGTATCAACTAGCAACAGGAAGTGCGGATAACTCTATTAGAATTTGGGATATTAGAAAGTTGAGAAGTGTATATACTATACCAGCACATAAGTCACTTGTATCAGATGTAAGGTTTAATAATGGGGTGAGGCCAACAATATCAGGACTGTATTTGGCAAGTTCAGGGTATGATGGACTTGTTAATATTTGGTCATCAGATGATTGGACTTTATTGAAAAGTTTGGCAGGACATGATGGCAAGGTTATGACAGTTGACATATCTACAGGTTAGGTTTTCCCATGATTATGATTATTATGACTGATAATGGCAATATCAATAAATATTTATAATAGGTTCTTACTTGCATAAATATATATGTATGTATGTGCGTGTGAAATTTAGATAATAGATTCATTGTCTCGTCTGGTTTTGATCGAACATTCAAGTTATGGGCCAACGAAAATATTGAAATTTAATGTATACTTTTATTTATGTTGTTTGGAATTCATATTAAAAATCATTATCGTTATGAAATTTATATATTTTGATTTATATATCAGTGAATTAATAGATTTAAAATTATTCATCTCTTGGAACAGGTAATCCACATGGTTGTAACATTTTCTAGTTATCCCACAAAAAAAAAAAAATAGATAGTTTAGTAATTAGTTATACAAGTAAAAATATATATATATATATTTAATTTACCTCAACAAATTCGAATTTTACTCTTGCAAGACATTCATTCTGTGATACAGCAAAGTAAGATATCAAAGCATGATGTCCAATATATGAAGCATAACTGTCACGATGTTGATTCACTAACCATTCACTATAATCAAAATCAATGTTAGTAAATATTTATTAAAAAAAAAATGAATTGATGGACAAATTGATGAAATTTACTAACAATTTGTTAGTGTCAGCATGTCCAGTTCCAACATATTTTGATTGTACTAAGTATTATTAATATTAATAGAATAGGATAAAAATTGGCTAATTAATATACTTGTTATTTATATTATGTTTTCTGTAAAATAACTTACAATGTTCAAGTTGACTATTGAGATTAAACCGATCCTACAATATTATTTGTTATTCAAAAAGAAAAAATGTATTTATTAATTTATAT